GCGTATCCCAAAGGCCCAGCCACCCTCTCAAACTCTTCCATGTACTCCTTCACGCTTCCGTCTTGCTTCAACCTTAGCAATGGTGCGAACGTGCAATTTGCAGTGACTCCTTGAAAACGCCTCAACACGTGTGACCTGAATTGCTCCCAATTAGCTCCAGGATTTTGACTCTCCCACCACTGAAACCAATGGAATGCTTTTCCTTCCAAGACTATCAGAACCTATGACATTTTTTCGGCTTCAGGAATTCCATTAATGGTGAAATAACGCTCTGCTCGATGGATACACCCAAAAGCATCTTCCCCATCAAAAAGAGGCAACTCCAACCTTCTCACGGAAGTATCATTTGTTCCTGCGTTTCCACCGGTGCCTCCTCCATTCGTGCTGTTTGCGCCGCCACCTCCGCTTGGACCACCACCTCCGTTTGTGCCACTGTTTCCTGTCGGACCTCTATTCGTTCCATGGTTTTCTCCATTGGATCCACCTAATCCTCCATTATCTCCGGTTTGACCTCAATCCAAAATCATCCCATTGATTATGCGTCTCAGATCTTCTTGCACCGATTCGGATTGACGAAACCAAGTTTCTATTCCTTCCTCCATTCGCCGTGAACGTTCTTCGCTATTAGCGAACCATAGCGTCAGCTTTTCCTCCAATGTAGATAAACGATTTTCCATCCTTCTCGTCAAAACCATATAATGCTCCCAGAAATGGAAGCTTTGATACCAATTGTAATGGCAACAACAGAAATTAAACAATTAACACAACAAATAAAAAATGATAGGACGATTCTTTCTGTATAACTTCTTTGGTATTGAAAATAAGAGAAAGACTGAATGTCTATTACAACTAGAGCAATTCGAGAGTGCTCTATTCTTTCCTTACTACTCACTGATTAACTGAATGAATATCTCTCTCTTCTCACTCATACTTCATATAACAACCTACAACCCTCCACACACGTACTACACCACGCCTTACCCATAATTGCTTATTCTCATCCTACTCCCCTACACCACGTTAGCTGCCAACTCATCAATACTGACTTCTTCCACATCAGCCTCAGGTACTCTGACTCGTTCCACATCAGCCTCAGATACCCTACGGCCTCGCCTACGGTACACCTTAATAGGCTTTGCTACGCATTATTTCCTTCCTTCAAGATAAAAATCTGCACTCTCTCTTTGTCTTCAAAACTGTGGACACCATGGAAGAAAGAGGAAGCTTGATAGATTAAGTTTAAGTCATTTTTTAGCAAAAACTCATTACACAATACTTGTAGTCCTTGATCTTGTGATCAAAACCCCTTTATTCTTTCATCTTGGAGAGCCTTATACCTTGAGATATTCTCCTCCAAAGGTGGCTGCCACTGTTCATGCAGTGTAGAAATTCAAGTGTTCTTCAAGGTTCAAAGCATGGAAAATGTTGGAGTGTTGTTTAGAAATTGTTATATCATGATTAAATGTTATATAATTTAATGTGTCATGATGAAAGGTAATGTAATTTAATACAGATGTGTTGTAATTAAATGTGGTGTGATTTGTTGTACTGTGATTAGATGTATTGTGATTTGATGTGATGTGATGTGATTAAATATAATGTGGTTTAATGTGCTGTGAAGCTTGATTGGTTGTGAGGCCTGATTGCCTGTGAGATCTGATTATTGTGGGGCCTGATTGCCTGTTCTCTGATCAGTAGAAATTTGGGGGACTTCCGCCGGATAGGACTCTTTGTGGGGGTTCCAGTTGTCGTTGCGCCTTAGAGTAGTTAACACTCTAGGAATATCTCAGGAGTTATATGATGGGGTCCTTGAACAATATCCCTGATTGGATGTTCTCAGATTTGTGCCCAATTGGTTGTTGATTGTTTGATGGTGTGATTGATTGATTGTATGATGTACTATATGGGTATTATCTTTGGTTGCACATTTTAGTGTGAATTTCTAATCATTCTAGTTATTATAAATATTGGGTGTTGTTGATGATTTGATAGAATTTTTAAATCAATATAAGATGATTTGATCAATAATCAAGAGACTCTAAATTATAAGAGAAAAAGTAAATGATTATGAAAATATGTGCTGGAATGTGTATCGGTAAAAGAATATGGATTCAGTGACTGCATGCGGATATGAATTCTATTACTGTATATAAATACAGAAAATATGTGACTGCATGTGAATATATAATTTGTATTAGTATGATGTTATCTATGTTCGGTGTTTAACATGTCATGTAGGAGGTGAGCTTATGGGTGGAGACTGCTCCATAAACCCAGAGCTTATTGGGATTCATTTCTCACCCCGTCGTGGGGCTGTAAATTAAATTACAGGTACATCAGTTGCTGGGAAATTTAAAGGGACAAGGAACCGGTGCAGTGAGGAAAGAGAAAAGTATTGTAGCAAATAGAGTAATGGATATTTATTCTAGGACTATATATATATATATATATATATATATATATATATAAAGTACAGTATAATGGAATGGCATGGAGCCATCTATTTGTTTTCTGTTTATAAATTTAGAAATATTGAGTTGTTGTCTATCAAGTGAAAATATATTATGGGAATATGATCCCTAGAAATGTTCAAGTTATAGCCGTTATGCTATCTATGTTTCTGCCAGAAATAATACTTGTTAATATATTCGAGCAGACACGTTATAAATAAATTAATAAGGTGAGTGTTTAAATAAGATTCTGTATAGTTAGGAGCCGTATAGATTTGAATCTAAACTACTTAATGAAGTAAGGAAATTACACGAAAGAAAGACAAAAAGAAAAAGTTAAGTCACGTAGTTGATGGTAAACTATAGTGATAACTTTATTAAGTCTTCCGCTTATTTAATCCAATAAGTAGCGCTTTTATTACCATAATGTGAGTTAACACAACGGCAATTGACGGGGTGTTGCAATCTACATGAAGAAGTTTATATAGATCCACCACCTGGTTATGCAAGTTGAAGAAGTCTCTCTATGGTCTTAAACAATCCCATATAGAGTGGCTTGAAAAGTTTACTCAAGCTGTTAAGGGAAGAGGATTCCTCCAAGCTCAGACTGATCACACTTTATTTTTCAAACACTCTAATGGTCGTAAAATTGTTATTCTCATTGTTTATGTTGATGACATAATTGTCAAAGGTAATGATTGTGAGGAGATAAGCTCTTTGAAGTGTTCAGCTGATTAGTTTGAACTGAAGGATCTTGGATCTCTCAAATATTTCCTGGGCATGGAGGTTGCTCAAAGGAAGGCAGGGATTTCTTTAACTCAGAAGAAATATATTCTAGACCTGTTACAAGAAACAAGAATGCTTGGGTGCAGGCCAGCAGAGACTCCAGTTGAACACAATATTAAATTGGAAATTGAAGATGGGAAAAAAATTGACAAAGAGCAGTACCAGAGATTGGTGGAAAAGTCGATCTACTTATCTCACACTCGACCTAGTATTGCATTTGCAGTTAGCATGCATGCATTCTCTTAGGGAAAAACACTGTAGTGCAGCGTATAAAATCCTTAGGTACCTCAAAAACACCCCTGGTCGAGGATTGTTCTTTAAAAAGGGACAGAAGAGGATGATTGAAATATATACAGATGCAGATTGAACTAGCTCTGCATTAGACCGAAGATCCACTTCAGGCTATTGCACCTATGCGTGGGGAGATCTTGTAACTTGGAGAAGCAAAAAACAAATAGTGGTCGCAAGAAGTAGTGCTGAAGCAGAATTTCGAGCTTTAGCCCATAGAGTCTGTGAGGGAATCTGATTGAGAAGACTTCTTGAAGAGTTGAAGATCTCATATTCCCTACCACAAACTATATTGTGACAACAAGGCAGCTGTCAGCAACGCTCAAAATCCTGTTCACCATAATCGAACAAAGTACGTGGAAGTTGATCACCACTTCATCAAAGAAAAATTAGATGGTGAAAGTGTGTATGATGTATATTCCTACCAAAGAGCAGACTCAAGATATCCTCACTAAGGCCCTACACCAGCCAGCCTTTTAAGACCTGATTAGCAAGTTGGGAATGATCAACATTTACCTCCTAACTTGAGGGGGAGTGTAGAAAATTAGGATTAGAATCTTTCCTCTTTTATTTCCTATTAATTAGTGATTGATTTTTTCCTTTAATAGGATTTTGAATTTGTTTCTATAGATAGGATAGAGCTAATGACTCATTGCTAAGTCATTCTTATCCATTTTTTTTTTCTCATTTACTCTTGTATAAATACCCCCAATCAGTGTAAAATGTAATCAATTTTAGAAAAATCCTTTGTTTTACATCTTTCAATACAAGGTATGGGACTTGATGTCCCACATCAGAAACATAAAAAGTTTCTGGTGTGAGGTTTATATGGACTTTGCGCTCTCCTACCTTACAAGCTAGCTTCTGGTATCAATTGGTATTCAAGCTTCCACTGTATCTCCCAATTGCAATTGAGCGACACAAATGGTAACACAGGTATTGCAGTGTTCGCCCCGGGCTAAGGGCTGCGAAGCGTGATAGGATGTTACGATTCAGTTGCAAGGATGGGACTTGGAGTCCCAAATTGAAAACATAAGGTTCTGGTGTGAGGTTTATATGTACTTTGGGCTCTCCTACCTTACAAGCTAACTTTTGGGATAAGGCTCCCATGGTTTGTATCGCAAACAAATTTTATTCCAGAAAATAAGATCTTATAGTTAGTGGAGTATCTATTATTCTAATCCTTCTTTCTTGTTTAAATAAGTAAATTGACAATCAGGTATATATAATTTTATAAAAAAATTAAATACACATAAAATTGAAGGCAGATTGACACGTTGAGGGGGTGAAGAAGCTTATTGATAGTAAATTATTATTAACTTCTGTAGATAGCGAGACTGTGAGTCGAGTGGTTATCACCATTGAAATGAGCATCCACAGGGAAATTGCTCATTCATTTCATATTTTCCCTTTGCAAACCATAAAAACATGATTCACATAACAATGCCTCCCAAAATTTAAAAAATAATGGGTTACCAGGCATAATATCCAACTTGACTGACTTTGTTCCTTTGATAAGCTTCGCACCACTGCACGACTTGCAGAAATTCTGATGCCAATAAGAAAAGAAAAAAAAATTATTAACATTTTTGCACAAATTATTACTAATTGGTATGGAAGACCAGCATAGCTATATGCTTCATACGATGAACCTAGCATCACTCATCCTATGATTTATTTATAAAATTAAATGCTTTAGTGGGAGAAAACCTCCAAAGATGGATTACTGTCATGTAAGAAGAAAATAAGATCAACAATAAGCAAGTTACATGAATTCCAGCTATGTCCATCATATTTGAACCCTTATACAATAAAGAAAGAATAATAGAATCAACCCAAAGAAAAAAAAAAGATTGAATGTTGGCACCATACCGATACAATTCTTCCAGTTCCCTTACATGTACCACAAGTACTCTCCATCTTAAATATGCCAGCTTGTACAAATGTCTGGACATTTATCAAAGCCAACAATTTAACAGCAAAAAAGAAAATTTAAACTCATAACATAATTAAAGAAAGTTAAAAAATCTAATTTCAAGACAATACTGACCACTCCTGAGCCTTTACAGCGCTTGCAGGTTTCAGGTCTTGTACCAGGAGGAACACCACTCCCACCTGCAATAGTTGAGCAAGAGAAAGAATTTGTAACTTAAGGTTCACAGGCCTTACAAACTAAACAGAATATAGTAGTAACAGGAAACAACTGACGAGCATACCACAAGTGTTACAAAGCACATCTGTCTGAAATGTAACAGTTTTTGTGCATCCTTGGACAGCTTCCATAAAGGATAGTTCAATGAAAGTCTGTGAAAAATGGATTAAGATGTATTTCCTCAAACAAGTCCTTAGCATACTTAAAGATGTCCATATATGAAGAAACAATGAACCTTAACATCCTCTCCACCAATATTCTGACGAAAAAAACTCTTGAAAAGATCCTGATCACCATTGAGGGAATTGCCAGAGAATTAAAGAAAATCATATTAGACTTCAAATGTGGGATATATAACGCAAGCAAGTTTCAGAGTCATTTATATTTAATTAAAGAATAAGTAAGGTACAAAATTTCTTACATTTAAAAGCAGAACAGATGCATAACCAAGCATAACATATACAAATTAAGGTGTTTTACTTATTATTGCTTGAGCATGCATGTTTTTAAAGCTGTATTAAAAAATAAAAAACTTCATAGATCATTATGCTTCTTCTTCTTTTTAAATAAAAATTTAGGTAGGGTTAGATGCCAGTCATTGTTGTTAAAATGTAGCGTCGACTCGGTAGAAACGTAAGAGTCAACGTTTTTGACACCAAAAACGTGTTCAAACGGTGGTTGAAACGGATATTGAGTCGACTCGGTTGAAACGACGAGTCAACTCGATAAACTCGGTTGACTCGGCAAGTTTAACGAGTTGACTCAATTTAAAAAAAAAAAAACAGCGATTAAAACGTCTCTTTTTTTAAACTTTTTTGTACGACAACGATATTGGGTGGTCTTCTCCTCTCTAGCGATTGGGTCTTTGGCTCTCTCCTCTCTAGCTCTCCCCTCTCATCTTTGACTCATCATCATCTTCATTCTTCTCTCTTGAATCATCATCAAGTACTGACTTCCTTTTCTTCTCTCTTTTTTTTGTGGATTTTACCTTCATCTATTCTTCCCTTATTATTTATGGCCTCTGTTTTAGAGTGAAAAAATAATAAGTGAATGAAAAAGAAAATGGGGTTTGAAACCCCAAACGATCTATTATTTATTTTGGGTAACAAAATGGGGTTTGAAACCCTTCTTCCTCAACCATTCTCGCACTCTTGGACAGCCACGCAGATTTCTTTTTCTTTTCTTTTTTTCTTTTATGAGCTGTACTACTGTCAATCGAAGGGAAGGAAAGAAGTTGCTTGCTTGTTTGTTATCCTTGGAGGAGGAGATGAAGATGATACTAACTTGGACTCCAATGACTTAAATTAGAGATATTTATCCCTTTTATAATTTTATTGCCTTGGTGTTTTGATTTTAGTATGTATTATGATGACTAAATTTGAACTTAATTTTTATTTCCTCTAGTGTTTGAACTTAAATTCTTTTTTTGTATGGGGTAAATTCTTCCGTTTCACGATTTTACGTTTCTGCTCACCCCACCGTTTCTGCATAGACTCTGTTTTAACAATTGACGCCAATATCCCACCAAGATCAATGTTGATCCCCCAACAAGGTCCTCACATCAGCCAGCGGTATTTGAATTGGCATCTGATATGAACCTTGGGAGAACCTCACCCTAAAAGTTAGCTTGTAAGGCAGGAGAGCCCCAAGTCCTTACAAAACCTCACACCAGAACCTCATGTTTCCGATGTGAACTCCAAGTCCCATACCTTGAAATTGGATCGTAACGTTCTGCTTGCTTTTGAGGTGGGACTCTCCCAAGGTTCATATCAACGCCCTTGTGGGGTACAAGCCAAATCAATATGCTTTTAGACTAAACTAGTAATTGCCGCAGTTGTCTGATTGCTTGATGAGACCTTGAGATGCACCACCCCAAAAGCTAGCTCAAAGGGTGGGAGTGCCCAAGGCCTTATAAACCCCACATTAGTTGCCCATACAACCAATGTGGGACTCCAAGTCCCATACCTTGCAAATGGAACCCCAACATTCCACCACACTTCCCTAATGCGTGCCCCCACGCACAACTCCACGTGATGGATGCTCTGATACCAAATTGATGGAACCCAGAAAAAAACATTACTAAATTCATTAACAATGGAGGCATAGCCTCTTTTTACATACACTAATACAATATAAATTGCAGCACCAAAAGACCTCACTCACTCTAAAGCCAAATACCTAGGCCAAAGAGATCCCAAGAGATCTTTTCCCAAAACCTCACTCCAAATATTCTGAATACATGCGTAACAGAAACATCACCCTAAACTTCTATATATACTAATTCTAAAATACTAATGGGCTTGGATTAGTATTATAGGCCCATCAATACTCCTAGCTTTTGGGGTGGTGCATCTCAAGGTCTCATCAAATGGAATTGATGCGGAAGATGATAAAGGTCATGGATGCTTGGGAAGAAAAGCGAGAAGCTCTAATGAAAAAAGCAAAACACATACAGAAAATCGAAAAAGAAAAAAACGATGAAGAAACAGAAAACGCAATAAAGACAAAAAAAGAAGAAAACGCTGAAGCAGTGGACGAGAAAGAAGAAGTTGCAGGAAAAACAAAACAAGAAGAAGAGACGAAAGAAGATGAAGAAGATACAGAAGCGGACGACATAGAAGGAGCAGAAGATAAACACACGGAGGATGAGAAGAGGGTAGCTATTGTTCGCAGTGGCTTGAAGGAAGAAATCCAAGTTGAGGTTCAATTTCATGATCTGACAGATTTGAGAAGAGAGATGTCGTTGATGGTGGAAGAGAGGGAGACAGCGTTGGGAAGGGGAAGCTCTAATATGGGCCAAAACGGAATTGGGCCACGAATTGTGAGAGAAATAATTGGGAGACACGCACTTGCTAATCATTCTGGGCTGGTGGATATGAATGGAGACGGGCATGGGTTGCATAAGGGGCCCATTACCAGTGGGCCCAACCAAAGCAACGTGATCCGGTGTAATGGGGTTCTGACCCAACCTCATGAGACAAACACAAATACTAACCAGTTAAGTCATAATGGGGGAGATGGAAATAATGATCTGGGCTGGTCTCATAGAACTGGGCCCAATAGTAACCAAAGAGAACCCAATAGTATGGGTAGTAACCCACAAAAAGTGAACCCTAGTCAGAATGGAGGACAAAACATAGAGAGAGGGAGAGAGACGGGAAAGGGCCGAGGAGGAGATATGGACGGAGACGGCAGTGATGACCGGAGGACAACGCGATTCCGGCGACTATCTTCTGAGGGGTTGGCGGAACAAAGGCGACACAACTTCTGGTTCATGCATGACATTGCAAATTCGTTAACCCAGGTTCGCTCAAACTCCCATCCTCTTGACAAGCTCCTGGGAACACGCAAACCAGTGTTGGAAAAGGAAGAGATGGTCAACGACGACGACTGTTCAGCCGATGGGGGGAAGTTGGAACGGGGCACAATAAATCCAGCCCAATCAGAGGGGCAACTAAGAGATACAAGAAATAGGAGCAGAGGATGTGGGTCAGAGTTTGTACAGCTCAATACAATGCGCATTTTTTATCCAGCTGGTGTTCGTTTATTCTCCAAAGAGACAGAGGAGGATGCAAGTCTCGAATATGATATGTTTGTTGTAGCTGGATGGATTGTGGATAATATGATTCATGAAAAGAAAATGTTGCAGTTGCTAATTGGGTCAATATGCTTCAAGCAGTGGGATCCTGGTGGATATTTTCTCACATCACCTACTCTCTTTCTCACCTTGAGGACAAGGTGAATTTTGAAGCGGGAGTATTGATGGGCCTATAATACTAATCCAAGCCCATTAGTATTTCAGAATTAGTATATATAGAAGTTTAGGGTGATTTTTCTGTTATGCATGTATTCAGAATATTTGGAGTGAGGTTTTGGGAAAGGATCTCTTGGGATCTCTTTGGCCTAGGTATTTGGGTTTAGAGTGAGTGAGGTCTTTTGGTGTGTATTTTCTGCAATTTATATTGTGTTAATGTATGTAAAAAGAGGCTATGCCTCCATTGTTAATGAATTTAATAATGTCTTTTTCTGGGTTCCATCATTGCTCAAGGCCACTCATATAGTGTCTGTAAAGCATACATTTAATACTAAAAAATTATATAATAATGAATGACTACTTATTATTGCTTCGTATGAAGCACCATTCCTAATGAAATTTCTACTACAATGCAGACTCACCTAGTAATAAAGAAATAAGGATCCACTAATAGACATGACAAATAAAAAGAGTGAAGAAACTCAGTAAGTCATTACATGATCACGAAATATCTGCTCAAATGGATTAAAGCCACTGTTGCCTCCAAAACCAGTGCTTTGTTGGTTTACATAAGCATCATGTCCAACCTACATTCACATATTAAACTAAATAAAATGCAAGAGGCTGAAGATAAATAAGAAAGAATAACAATAAACTCAAGCAAATGTGTTATTGTTCCCCAACCCCTTCCCTCCATATTTTATCTTGAATATCTTGGTATGAATTTCATGTTATCAAATCTCCATAAAACAACGGTCCTGTGTTTAAGTCTTACTATTTCCTTGTTATGTTCTTATTACTGACTTACAATTTACAGTCTCTCATGCATAAAATCAATTGTATATCCTACATTTTATCCCAATATAGTAACAACAATAAAATGCTCATCGAAGGAGCCAAAAAAATTTGGAAAGATGCGACACCTGATCATACTGTTGACGTTTGTCCTCGTCCTTTAAAACCTACAATGCAATTACCCAAAGAAGGGAAAAAAGTCAAGAAACCAGCATTCAGTTCACTCATCATAGGATGATTTAAAGCAGACCACTATATAGTAACAACAACAACAACAACAACATTACACCTCATATGCCATTGAAACTTCTTGAAACTTCTTTTCAGCCTCAGGATCATCTTTGTTTGTGTCTGGATGGAGCTTCTTTGCAAGCTGCATAGCATGGAGATAAATTGAGACAGTAGAAAAAGAAAAAAAGACAGAATAATTTCAGACAAATTACTCATATGCTTGTCAAACATGTTTGAAGAATTCATGTAAAGAGAAAAAAGAAGGGAAAATGAGGGCAACTGCAATATATGTTCACAATTATTAGGCATAGAACATGCACAGACATACAAGAGGGCATATTCTGACAAATAAAATCAGACAAATAGTAACAAGTACAGAACTTATACAACAAAAAGCTAAAAGCATATTTCAACAAAATGCTGATCAATGATTGCATATTATATAAAACATAAGAGCAAAATGATATAAACAAAGTCTTCCTCATCCAAAACTTATTTATGCTAGTTTCTTGGAAAATGGCCGAAGTATCCACTTATTAAAAAGAAAATAAAAAGCTTCCTTGGCAGATGGAAAAGACTTAAAATTAAAAAATAAATTTGCAATGTGATCTCCTTTAACCAGGAAAAGTACAAGAAATTGCAAATTTTACCAGGAAAGAGATCAGATGTTTACCAATAAACAAAAAAAATATTTTGGTATCGGAGTACATGCATATTGACAACGGTTAAGTAAAACCTACCCCATAGTAAGCTTTCTTTATTTCAGAAGCACTTGCATTCTTACTCACACCAAGCACATCATAGTAATCTCTTGCCAACAATGCTGAAAAGGTTAAAGTGAAAAAAAAAGTCATTGAAATGCAAGGGACAACAAATAAATATGCATAGACGGAAGGACCAAAAGAGGAAAATGCGGAGGCAATTGAATGAAAGCAGCATAACTTCAAGTTCCTTCCGCTTCATCGCCATAGGAAAATAGTAGACAAAATGCAAGCCATAAATAACAAAAGCAACTCAGAAAGTGTTTTTCCATATGACACCAGGAAGAATGAAAAGGATGGCATGCATGTTACACATAATGCAATAACTTATACCTGAGCCATGAATGGATCTGGATGCTCCCCAATATGTATTTGCAGCTCCCAATAGCAACCAGTTCTTCAAATTATTACCATCTACTGCACTTGGATAAGGTCAGAAAAGATCAGCGAAAACAATATTAGAAAAGTCAACATCCCAAGGAAAACAACAAGTGGATAATTGTAAATCTAATCAAAAAATAACTACTTCAACAACAGAGTCTCATTCCTCTATAACTGCACAACTGAATCCCAAAAACAACCTTCAAACTCGCCTTAGTAACTTTAACACCCCAAAAAAAATTAACAATAATAATAAACGGTGAATTTAACGCATACCATTAGGAGAAAATTTTCCGGTAATACTGGACGGATTGCAAAGTCCTCCTGATTTCAATGTCCTATAACCCCATTGGAATACTGATTCATATATCTGAGATTCAAGTACACCACAAAGAAAAAAGATAAAAACACAACAGACACTTCCCACAAAGTTGTTCAATCGAAGTTCATATAGAAAATGCCTAAAAAAGCGAAATGGATGCCAAATCGAGGGGCATGAGAGAAAATTAGAGAGAGTTTTACAGGCAGAGATCTAAGGAGCCTAACGCCATTGGAGCGAACCATTTGGGAGCTCAAAGGGTTGCGGACGTGCGTGTCAATGAGAAATATTGAAGCTTTGGAACGAGGTTGGGGTTTCTGGTATTGAGCAATAGCTCTAAACCCCCTCCGATAAACCCTAATTTTTTGATAAAGTGGAAGGTTATATGTGTGGAGCAGATTTTCTATATAACTCCACCTTTCGGTTAATAAAGGGAAAATAAAATAAAATACGGGAAAAATAACGTAATAACCAATTAGTGTTACTGTCAATGTTATTAGCAATTAATTTTACCATTAAATCGATTATGTTGATCTAACTGTTATATTTATTTCCATCTTTATATGTTACGATTCCCCATATTTAATACTTTATATTTATTTTCACCTTTGTATGATTATGATTTTCCATATTTAATGCTTTCACATTAATATCAGAAATCATGACCACACAAATGTGGGAATAAATATAACCGTTGGATCAAACATAATCGATCTAACGGTAAAATTGATTAGTAGTAACACTAATTGGTTGTTACAATATCTTTTCCCATAAAATAAATAGATGAAAATAATAATAACGATAAAGTTCGTGTAAATGAGTTTTTTTTTAATATTTGATCAAGAATAAACAATAATCTTCTTGTGATAAGATATTTATGAGGATAACTACTTGATTTCTTATGCCTTTTTGATATACCATATTGACGGTGAGTTGAACTGTAACTCATGACTTTTGACGTATGTAACCCTCCGTGTATACCCGGTTTGTTAACATATGTCATCGTATTAAGTCACGCTTAATTAAAAATGCGGAATATCTTTTTCTTTTCAGTTATGACGTCATCACCAATTACCAAGTTGATTACTTAATTATTTTTCAAAACGTTGCCTATATGTAATTGCAAATAAACAGGTATATATACTGGATAACCTTAATAATATATATAACTGAATGTGTCTCTAGTCACGGAACTACAACACGTAGATCGGACAGATCCTGATAGGTTAATACAACTTGAAATAACTAAAACAGCGTCAAATCAATGTGGCATGGACAATCTCCATGCTCACCAAAAAACGGCATACTCATCAAGTCTCAATACAAACAACATGATAATGAATAAGGCATAAACACTAAACAGGGACATCAGCATAATCGGCAGGCATAACAATCAACTAAGCTCTGGCCTCCTGCTGCTAGAGGTCTCAACCCCTGGGTTACCTGAACCTGACCTGAAATAAGCGCCCCAAACGTGGGGTGAGATCTCTAAATAGAAATCTCAGTAAGGCAAGGAGTCCTCAAGGATTTCTCCACCTCAAGCTCACTTACATGTGCAATATAAGTTCTAAAAGCAGTTTAACAATATAAGTTCCAAATCAGTGCAATGCAGCAGATAATCATGTCATATAAGTTAACTATTCTACTGGCCAGAGAAATGCAGGATTTACACACGTCTATTATCCACATAGTACACGCCCATGTCGTACTTGCCCACAGGATCATCATCCCGTCTAGGCGAAACATCACATACATATCATAAGCATTTGCACTTAACAGCTCAAAAGCATTTCAATAAAGCAATACATGAAAACACATCATGCATATAAACCATTCCCCCATGGGGTATGGTGGAACCAACAATGGCTAAACCGAGGACACGAAAGCTTACCTCTAAGCAATCGAACCAATCCAAGATCCACACCGGCTCAAAGTCCACACACAGCAGAATCACAATCTGTTTGGACCAACAATCATATCAATATTCATACTCTACAAGCATATGACATAAAGACAACGCCTTCTTTTTACGTTTCATGTCTTTAGGCTTCCCACAAAGCTATAAGCCCTTAATCATTTAGATTCTGACTTAGATTAATTATTACAGAAGTCTACAATAGCCCATCATGGGTCCACAAACCCAAAATCTCATTTTGTATGAACAGTACCGTTACTGTCATGAAATTCCCAGAATATCTGGATATTTGTCGGGGACATATCTGGATATTCATATCCGGATATCCATATCCAGATATCACCAGTCCTATATCCGGATATCTCCAACCCAATATCCTGATATCAATATCCGGATATCATATCCGGATATTTCGCGATAGAATGCAGTTTCTGCATTTCGCGAGATATCACTCCAAAGGTTCCTCTTTTAACACATAAGAACATTAAAGCATGCATGTTTAAGTCCCTTTAGCCCAGTTATCATGTTGGTTGCTTAAACAATTCATTAACATGCCAAGACTCAACCTTTAGACAAAGAAAACTCATGATCAAGGTTGGTGAAGCTTACCCAAGGTTGAAACAGAGCAAGGAGATGCTCTTGGAACTCACAAGTCAGCTCCAAAAATCTGCCTTCAAGAGTGCACGAAAATGGCACACCACAATGGTTCTTTTCACCAAAAATGGCTTCTTGAAGCCTCAACAACCCAAGAGATGATTCACACTCCCCTCAACTTAAAGGCAGCACTCTAAGCCTCCCCAAACAGTAACTAAACTCAGAAAGATGCAAGCTTTCACCCTCCAAATACACACCTCTAAGTGTTTACAAGGTTTAATGAGAAGAATCCATAGTAAAAGAGGTGACTTGGGAGATTTTTCATGCAAGAAAACCAAAGGAAGAAGGTGACAGCTGCTCACACTCAGAGGGTTCACGTAGAAAGACTGAAGATTAGCCTAGGGTTGTGTGCAACCCTCTACTTATAGTCGTTTAAGTTTTAATCGTACTTTGTTAGCGCTAAAAGGAACTTGAGCCAAGGAACTTCATAGACTTGAGCCAAAACTCACACTTCGAAGGCTTTGCGTAAAGCTTTTTCTCCTTCAGCACTTGCAACACAATCCTCAAGTGCTCAGTATGCTCCTCCTCCGTCTTGGAGTAAATCAAGATATCGTCAATGTAGACGATCACAAACTGATCCAGGTACGGCTGGAAAATCTTGTTCATGTAATCCATGCACACTGCGGGTGCATTTGTGAGTCCAAAAGGAATCACCAAATACTCAAAGTGACTGTATCTCAAACGAAACGCGGTCTTAGGGACATCCTCCGGCTTCAGCCGAATCTGATGGTATCCGGACCGGAGATCAATCTGAAGGTGAGTACCTATTTTAGGCATGTGAAATTCTATTTATGAGTATAGGAATAATTTAATTATAACATATAGAAAGCATAATACTACTTAGAATTATATGAGTACTCATTAAAAGTATTTGATTAATTTTATTACAAAGAATAAACCCTTAGTTAATAATTGGAGGGTACATAAAATAATAAGGCATGGGTAGTTCATAAATAGGAGAGCCCTTGAACATAAATTTTGGGCCCAAATATCCTCATAGCCGACGCCCAAGAGCCCTTTGGTGGGACTTAGTTTCAGCCCTAAACCCTTATCTATCTTAATCATATCTTAGAAAAAAATTCCAAGGCTGTTCTCTATTGGTTAAGAAGCTCCACATTGCAAACTCAGCTCTTGTAATCCTTGTTATGCGCATAGGTTGATGGGATAATCTGGTTGCTTGCAATATTAGATAATTTCAAATAAGCCTTGCAAGCCTTTGACCAATGAAAGCAAAGTGGTCAGCATGCATGAAATCTCATTGGCCAAAAATCCTACTCCTTTCTTATCCCTATTTGGTTGCTTTGGCGCATGATAGAGTGTATGCAAGAGTTATTACCTTGGTCTCCTTTTCCTCTCTAGGCGCTGAATAAGGGAACAACAAGTTGAATGGTTACCTCCCTAGATCAAAACAAAACTTAGCTCATGCCACCCCCTCCTTCCCATCTAAACCGTGAGTCACTCAAGGAGGGCACCAAGAAAAATTAAATGGCAACTATTTCTCTCATTATCCCACAAAATCGTAAGCCCCGTGAGAAGGACACAAGAAATTTTTTTGCACATTTACCCATCTTCCCCTCAAGACCGTGAGACCTCTTAGAAAGGGGGACCATCACTTAACCCTCCATGGTTCCTCTCCTTTCCTGGCGTGGTCGTGTTCTTGTATGCGAGGAGGTGTGGTATTTTCCTTATTTTGTTCCTCCTTTCCCCACGCCGGTTAGATGAGAAACTTTGGTTTGCATGCAGATTGAAGCTTAGACTTCCACTTTCCTTCCTTTCTTCCTGGGCGCACCGGCAACATCTTGAAGGGCTGAACTTGGTTCGGGAGCAGAGGATTATTGAAGTGTTATTCTTTGTCCCATTTGTGGTTCTTTAAGGTGAATCTGAGTTCAAGCTCTCTTTTTTCCCCTTCTCTGTTTCGGGTTAAAAGCATTGCTTGGTCGAACCGAGAGCTGCTCGGGAATATATTTTCAGAGAGCAAGAGTGCAGAGTAATAATCAGGATTGCCAACAGGAGCAATCTACTCTGACTTAGAGCAACCCTCTTCAACTATACGCAAGCGTACGTGTCAAGCAATATAGGGTATTGTAGCCCCAGATTTATCGTCCTCAGGGAGCAGTTGTGAAGTAAGAAGCGCTAAAAGAAACTTAATTTGTAGAATGAAGCAATAAAAGAAAGTACTATTCTCAGCTAAGCTTCACAAAGAGCAATCTCTGGGCAGCTAGTTAAACAATGTTAACCATTCTGAACCAGATGAGAGCAGTGAATGACTTAGCACGGTCATCGAATAAAAGGCATCAATTTAAGTAACTTTAAGAGCAGTCAACGAAATGAAAGTAAGAGCATCAGCTGGTAAAACACAATTCAGTTATCGTGAAGGGAAGATTGTGACAGAAGTTTGAGTTAAGATTAATTTCAGAAAAAGTCAAGTAGGTGTTACGGGTTCCATGTTTTCATCCCTTTGGTTAACCCTGCTCGGTAGCATATTTTACAAGTGGATTTTACTCCTTCCCTTGTTTTGCTATAGGTAAGCAGAGGGTAAGGCCTTACTCTCCACGTTACTCCATAGTACTTGGAGTTATATGCAAGGAAACCATGCTGCCTTCTCAAAAGAGCATGGATTCACATGGCAGTGCTCCCCATTCCAGGTGTTTCTCCCTCCTTTCTTCAGGCTAAACTACCACAGGATCTTGAGAATGCTCCACACGCCCTTGTCAGTGTTTCATCAACCGAGTGGTCCCGAGATGAGGTTGCCAGCCCAAAGGGTTTCACAAAATCAATAAAT